AAAACTTCAAGACAAGAATCAAAAAACTTAACAATTCACTATCTTTTTCCTTAGAGCATCCCTTCTTCACTCCAAAGTTAAAAACTAGTCAGGTTCATAACAAGGAAATATCTATGTTATTTCTTAAGAAGATGAAAAAATACATTACAGTTAATACTAATTATCATCAAATTTCTCAAAACATGAATTTCCTATCCTTTAGATTCCATAAGACAGAGGTGGATACACCTCAGGAAACTCTAAGGGCAAGCTCAGAGTCCACAAACACAGGTGCACTTGAGGCACAGCCTATAGGCTTGCATAAACAGAGTATGGGAGAAGCCTGGAAAGACAGGTGCCACAATCATACCTTCCAGATTCTGAATCCTTCTAAGTTTTTTGAGTAAGGAAATAGCTGGCTATAGTATCCTATTAAGTACCACATGCTGTACAAAATAGTGTAGACAACTATTTGGGTTTCAGAGCTTTAGTTCTTCGTCCAGTAAAAATAAGAAAATACCCAAAATGTGTGAAAGCATTTTAAAATATACAAAGGGCTATAAAAATACACCATGATGCTATTATATAGCCATCAAGTTAATAGCCACCAAAGAAAACACCCATACAAAGGTGGATGTGCGTCCCATCCTGAAAGCCAGATTTCTGAATCATCTTTAATCTTACTTTTTACTAAATACCTAAAATACAGCATGCATGCTAAAAAGCTAAGCAATGTTACAACATGGTAGATGGCCACCTGACAGAAAGGGATGTATCACTTAAAGTCATCTAAAGACCTTATTTACTAAGCCACAGCCTGTGTGAGATTTTTAATTGCTTTCCACTTTGTAAAGCAGACTTCGCTCTTCATATGTGGATTATTCCTAGCTCTTAACGCTATCACCTGACTTCCAATTCAGTCTTCCCAACTAAGACCAAACAGGGTATCCAAGAGTACTGGAAAAAAATTTTAAAAGTAAATAGCTGAATTTTCTCAAAGTTACATTTATACTTATAAAAATAAAAATTTATATTTATTAAAATATAAGCCTAGTTAACCATCACAGTGTGATCGCCAACTACAGCTGCTACACCTAAATTTAACTCCAGGGCTTGGAAGGACCGTTATTGTACTATGAAAGGTTTTTCCCACTAGCTGTTGACAACTGCAGGGGGAACCAGCTTTTCTTTTTTTTAACCTACCTACTTTGACAATTATCCACCTTTGTAAAGTCAGTAATAATCTTGTACAAGGCAGTCTTTTATAAAGCACAGTATAATTAAATGAACAACATACAAGGCCTATTTGAATTTTAAAATTTTTAAAAAGCCAACATCTTTGCAAAATGTTAAAAGACCAAGCAGGCAGTTTTATTAAACTGACAAAAAGAAAAAATTGGTTTTAGTCACAAATTCAGGCTTTATTATTAAGTTTCACCCTTTAACATTGGCCCCCATCCATCCTCCTAAGAACCACAATCCACAAACCTATGAAAATTTAATACTAATGTCTACACTTTACTTTCAATGCAAGGTAATAAAAAAAGTAAAGAAGAAAAATCCATAATATAAATTACACACATACACACACAAAAAACTGCTTTAAAGTAGGTCACAAACATTACCAAAATGTTCTAATGTTCCCTTAGTGGACTGTTAGCTGAGAACAGCAAACTGAGGTGCGAATTAAATAAAGAACAAAGATCTGCCTACTTTTCTACCTGTTAGAAAAGGTACAAAAGCTTAGGCTGAAAGCACTGAACAACAACAGTAACCTGACTTGGTTGGGAAGTAGGGAACCACAAATCTTATCACAATTTGCTTCAATTCACTTGTTCTTGATAAATGAATGCACAAGTGATCGGCTGGGGCACCAATTTGTGAAATAATCACATAATTTCCATATTCCTGCTCAAGTGATAACCATATGCCTGAGGCCAAGAACAGTATTTTCTTAATATCTGAAGAAACTAACAAAATTTTCCCTCAATTAATACGAGGTATAACTTCATTCTGATATATTTTCCCTCAAGCAGTAATAAAATTAGCTGAACTCAAACTTAACGGTTGAACTGTTTTAACAATTAATAAATTGTTCATCTTAGGTCTTAAGTTAACAGGTCTCCAAATGCAGGTAACTGGAATTGCTACACAAGACAAGCTGCAGGTAAAGCACTGTTATATTCTAAAGCAATTTGTTATTTATGGCAACGCCAACAAAGATAAAACTTGTCCATGCAATACTTTCATCCCTTATCTACTGCTACTTTCTGTTAAGAAACATGCAAAAAGTACTTGGTAAATAGAAACACAAATATTAAACCTATAGTTTTTAGTTTCTTTACAAGAATGTGCATTATGTATACAGCAAAATAAAATTTTTCCAAAAAAAAGGTTAAAAGCCATTCGATTTAAAATTCAGAAGAGCTAGTCCCAAACTTTTAACGTAGTTTTGTCTCAGAGACATTTGCGTTGTAAAGTTTTGGACCTGCAACCCAGAAACATTTACTTCATTAAATCATGGAGTACACTGCCTTTAAAATAAACTAGAGTACAACACTACTAGCAAAATATAAATTCAAGTCCTTGAAGATAAGGCATCTTCTACATTTTTGCCTAACAGGAGCCTAGCACAGTAAATACTAAATAAATGAACTGAATATAGACAAACATTCATCCACACAAGATCCCATCTGCCACAAGTGTACTTTCCAACATATCTCAGTCACCGGTAATTCACCTAGTGTGATAAGCTTCACAGAGGTCAAATTTATACTGTACTTGGGCGTCATCCTTTCCATTCCAATTTCAAATTTTAACCCACACATGCTCGTGAGCTCTGAAATTCATCGCCCTCATGTTCTTCAACTTTAATCTTTTCAAAGGTCGTTTTCCAAAAGTCGGCTCCGATTAAAATAAGTGAAAAAGATACAAGGTCTAACATCGGAGCCTAACTTCCCGCTGGCGGGAACTTCGCATCACCACGCTATGAGTTTCAGACCTGATAAAGAACATAGTCCATGTTCATTTGCATTTACTCCATGTTTTTCCTCAACTCGTTCTAGAGGCTGTTATGGCAGCACTTCTATCACCTATCTGTACAAATACATGTAGGAAGGAAGCCCAAACCCTTTTCCTTTGTCATTATCCCACTTTCAACTCCGCTCTCTCTGGAAGCCCGTAACTGGCCTTAAGTACGAACGCCGCGAAGTCTTCTCGCATTTGGCATTCGAGACTAATGCAGCCCCCAGGGACAAGTGCGCTGGGAGCTAGGAGTCAGGGAGCCTGGACACAAATGCCTGCTGCCCCTTACCGGCCGTGTGCCTTTAACCAAGCCACTCCACCTCTGTGCCCCAGTCTGCTGCAGAAGGAGAATAATCGCACCCACCTCACAAGGTCGTCGCGAGAATTAAATGAGGCAGACAAGTTGCTCAGCACAGTTCCTGGCACACAGTGGGGGCTTAGAAAGAGTATTAGTTCCTGTTATCACTCATCATCCACGCACTCGCTGATCCCTGTAAGACCAAAGGCCGGCACTTCTGCTTTGCGAGCCGAAAGGCTCTAGTCGCACTTTAGCGTTGGCCCGCCCCTAAATAAAATCCACTCTCGAGTCCTGGCCAGACAGGAGCCCCTCGGCCGGGAGAGGAAAGCCTCTACTGGCGCGTAGTGGGCGGCCGAACGGGAAGGACTGGCCAGCGGCCGCACACGCTCCCCGGCCTCGCGGGGCGCCAAGGCCCTGGAGCTCGCCCCGGGACCCGGGCGGCGGCCGAGCTCGCTCCCGCCCCGCGCGGCCGTTGGACGAGACACGCGCAC